AGATGCCTTTCAAGTTACTACAGTGCTGGGCTTCATTTAGAAGAAAGATTCTTTCAGGCTGATAAAACTCGATGTGTGTTGCTGGGAATAAAAGGGGCAGGCTGGCTGGATACAACAGGAAAAATGAACCATTTATAGTCTAGAAGAATGTTCAACAGAACGTCGCGTTCAATTCTTGACATTCACTTAATAAGAAACAGTTCCAGTTGTTCAACGCACAAAGTCTCGGATACATGTGGAAAATGTTAAAACTGTGTGCGTGATGGTTTTTGGGTAGGTATCAGAATATTTGATAACATCTGACTGGTGTTAGGAGTAGGAAAAGCTGCAGACATTATGCCCTGTGAGTAATGCAGAATGCTGGGTTTAGTTCTGTCTGTAGTCAGGCAGCGCTTAAGCACACGTAGTTTGTTGTCATTGATACTTTTGGGTTTCTTCACAAAGGACCTGCCAGTTACGTTTGAAATAGCATACTAGCATACTTTCAGAGTTATTTTAGACTTCCTAGCAATGCAGCCACTAAGTTTAGAGAGCAGATCTCTATGGAAGACCTCTTGCTTTAGCTGCAGGAGAAAAATTGAATGCTTAATTGAGCAGCTCATGCAGAAAGATAATCCCAAATATATATGGGTTTATAAAATCATGTGTAACATTGCAGGTGCCTGGTCACAGTGAATTTCCTTAATTACAGTTAGTAAGTGTGATTTATTCCTGTGGAAGACTCGTTGGGTTTGGGATTTTTAAGGCCTGTTTGGACATCGCTCAGCAAAATTAAGTTCGGCATAGCTTCTGCAGTCTTGGTAGCATCAGGGAATAAATGTGACTACCTGATGTTCTGATTATCCTTTCTATGTTCAATGAAAAGAACAGAAAATTGAGAAATTTCGTAGTGTATCAGGTCACGTGTAATACCACTTTTTTCACTTTTTATGTCACCTTTCAGCCACAAGTATTTTGATTTGATTCTGTGTGTGTGCGCGCACACGCGTGTCTACGTGTTGATTCTGGAGTGATGCCCAGAGTTTCCCAGCTCCCATTTGAGGACTGTACTGGTTAGGTGCTATACAAACACAAGTGCTGTTCTTGTGAGGTTGTATTAATAGTCTTCCACCTGTAAAGCTGAACGTCGTGTTATGGTTCTGGTTATACAAGGCTGAGAGCGAGGCAAAATATAATTTTAGAAATTCCCTCTTACTGAAGTAAGTTTCTTAAATAACTTTTTAAAGTTTGTGTAATTTTTTTATTTGGGTGTCTTGTGCAAGATGCAGGGAATGAAGAGATTCCTTTCAATAGCAGAGTTGGTCAGGATATGTGTAATTTAGTTGATACAAAAATGATTAGTCTTTTGGGTGAAGCTCAAGAAATTGAGTTGAGTTGAGAATTAAAATGAGCGGTTTATGTATAGCATTAATACGTAAGGAGGGGGATTTTCCTCTCTGCTAGGGATGGAAAGAGTAGTAAGGTCACAGTGGTGGTGGGGAAGAAAGCAGGTAGAAGATTTGGTGGGACTTCTCTGTTGGATCTACAGAGTTGCAGTTAATAGGAACTGCAGGGCTCTACCACACTTCCGTCTGAGTGCACTTTTGGCCCAGTTAACTCTGCCCATGTTGGAAGTTGTTTTGCGTTTCTCTTTGGCTTAAAGAGTTGTAGATAATAGGGTTTTTTCTTCTGTTATTTTTTTAATTGCTGAGTTGGAGGAACGAAGTCATAACTTCCTGCAATCATTACTAATTTTGATCCTGTATTTTAGCTTTGTGTGTTCAGTATGCTTCATATTTGTCAAGGGAGTAACTGGTGATATGGCAGAAGACTTCTTGAGTAAATCCAAAACAATATTCTGAGACAAGGCTATTGGCTGCTTGCATGCATGTGAGTCAGCGAAAGCTAGAATTCTTCAAAATATTGGTTGACTTCTTTTCTCCCTGCCAAATGAGAGACGCTAAATAAATAAACTTTGCATTCTCATCTTACGCAGGTATTTATCTGTCAGACTTGACGTATATTGACTCTGCCTACCCATCGACAGGGAGCATTCTGGAAAGCGAGCAAAGAACAAATTTAATGAACAACATTCTTCGAATTATCTCTGATTTACAGCAGTCGTGTGAATATGGTAAGCTAGCATGTAAACGTTGCAGCATTAAAAAGAACAACTTGAAAAGCTTTAATATTTTTCTTCTGTAATACCATGTTAAGTAAGGCCAAACCCATTTGAATGCCATCAGTGCTCACCCTCTTAGCCCAAAATTGTAAGTTTATTCTGGTATTGTTGGTTATGACAGAGCATCAGGGTGAGAACAGAATAAAACTGTCCTTTTCTTACATCACACACCTTTTTGCAGTATGTGTTTTCTGGTGAAAAATGTGGAATACGTTGTACTTGACAGAAGTTTTACTAGTTCGTTATAAACTTGTATCATTGTGTTTTCATAATTTTATGAGTATGAATTCTAAAAATAGTAGGATGGCTTTTGAAGAACTAATTTTACTGGAGGTAATAAAGTACGTTCCACTTGACTTGTGGACATTTTATAGTTTTGTGTTCATAGGTCAGATAATGTATTTTTTCCTTCAAAGTCGGTATCCCTCAGATTCTTCTTTTAGTAAAGTCGTAAGGGTGTGTTTGCGATGGTGAATTAGCACAGGATTGTGGCTCCACTGAAAGCTCAGTGCAATAAGAACATAAGCTGTGAAGGAGTCCCAGATACAACCCTCCAGGTTTGGGGCTTCAGTTTGGCCAGAGGTTCTCTTACTTTTCTCTGCAGTGTTCTCTGATAAGCAGAGCAGTTCTGGGGAATACGTGCCAGGCTTATGGATGTGGGGAATGTCAGCCCAATGCATGGGAATTACTGGGAAGGACCAAGACTTCATCATCAGTAGGGGCTGTAGTTGTACCTCCATCTCACATGAAAATGAAAAGGCGAGAAGTCTGATTCTCTTGAAATAGTTTCTGGAAAATTACTCTACTTACCAGTGTATGGTTCAGTGATAATGAATGTTATCTGTTCTCCAGATATTCCTCTGTTGCCTCATGTCCAAAAATACCTAAACTCAGTTCAGTACATAGAAGAACTGCAAAAGTTTGTAGAAGATGACAATTACAAGTAAGTATGAAATGCTGTAACTCACTCATTAAAACGTAACTTGTTGTGGTTTAACCCCAGCCAGCAACCAAGTACTGCCCAGCCACCCCTCACCCACCTCCTCCCCAGTGGGATGGGCATAGAATTGGAGGAAAAGACAGGGAAACTTCTGTGGGTGGAGAGAAGAACAATGAAATAATTGGAAATAAATGAAATAAAATAATACTAATATTACTACTAATAGTACACAGTGAAAATAATGGAAAAGAAAACAAATGATACAATTGCTCATCCCCCCCCCACCCACCCATACCCAGCCAGTCCCCAGGTAGTGAGATCCAGAGCTGGAGAGCCTGAGGGCCAGAGCCCAGGAGGGAGTGGCCCCTGGACCAACCCTCAACTTACACACTGAGTGTGATGTTCGATGGCATGAAGTGTCCCTTGGGCAAGTAGTGAGGTCCCAGCAGGGCCCTGTGCTGAAGACACACTTATCTTCTTCCTTTTCTGTGCCTGACTGCACCAGGCCCTAGCTGTCAGGGATGTTTGGGCTGTTGAGGTGATCTGCAGACCTCTTCCACTAGTGAAAGACTCCGTACTCTGGCTTACAGGGAACACTGTTCAGCCAGCAGGGTGGATCCAATGGCTGGAGATAGTTTATATCATTTTTCATCAGAACTAAGTCACCTGTGCATAGAGTCCCAAATTCTTACCAAGGGTGACTTAATGCTTTCACTTTTGTATATATTTCACTTTCATTTTGTATTTTTCTCTTTGATTAGGTTATACAGTGTGAGTAAAATGTAAACACTTGGTTTTTGAGAGGCAAATATTGTCCATTTGTGTCCCCACCCATTCCTCCCACAAGTATACCACCCCAAACAGAGGTTTCTACTTCCTTCATTAAAAGATTATTACTGAATTAAGTGATTTGGCATCCAGCAAAACTGGGGAATGGAATTCTCTGGCAAGAGGCAGGAACAAGCCCCGAGGATAGGAAAAAACCTAAAGCAAATCTGTTGCCCATGAAGTAAGTTTTTGTTTGCTGGTTGATCTGCTCGAGGAGGTTCCCCACCCATCACCATCCTGCCCGCCCTGGAAGTTTGTCACCTCGGTTGTGTTGAATTGGCTGCTTGTGTAGCTGCGTTGGAGTGGTGGGAGGGGGGGGTATGCTAGAGGAACAAAGGCTGTTTACCATTTCAAAGCCGTAACTTGGATTTACTAAAAGGCAGCAAATGGAAACCCTTCAGTTTACATCAAAGAACAGGTAAGGAGGGCTCAGGCACTTCGCTTCACATCTACCTTTGAGATGTTTTAATTAGTTCTCTGAGTGTCCATGTGCAAGCAACCAGTGTTACCTCCTTGCTGAAATGTTCCGTAGACTGGTTTTGGTGGTTGCTCGTCACTGCGAGCAGAGCTCGGCGGTCAAAACGTGAAGGGGAAAAAAAAAACCAAACCCACCTTTAAAAGCAGTGTCTGCTTCTCACTAGCATTTGTTCTCACGAATTCCACACTGACTTGACTCGGTAGAACTCCCTACTAGTGGGAATTGTGTTGCTGAAGGAGCTACAGCCCCTTCCTCCACAACCTGCGTTTTGGTAGCAGGAAAATGAATGGACACAGCTGCAAGTGATGCAAAAACATGGCTGCTCTCCC